CAATCATTCTTCTTGCTGTGATCTTTTCAAATCGTTTGCGTCGGTCTCTCTTTCTTCAAAAAAATTAAGTCCTTAAACACCTCATCATCTAGTCTCAGTTATATCATCCTGTTGCCGACTCTCTACATCAAATTCAACAAACCAGTATCACTTCAGGTTCCTTGACTCTTTTTCACCACTACCTTCAATCACATCACAATCTCAATTTTCACCAGTTACTTTCATCCCCCATATTATCAATCATTGCTATCAATCATCTTCAATCTCATGAAATCAATGACTCAGTATCATACATTTTATTCATAATTTCAAGAGCAGTGATCAGCTTCAACTTCTTTCATCTCACCTGTTCAGTTATCAAATGTGTTTAGATTATATATAATGAACTATCCCTTCTGAAAAAAGTTTGCTAGGGGGGGTGTTAGTATTCATGTATTGTAGCTCTCTGTTTTTTCTCAAACTCTTTATTAGCATATTTTCTTATTCATGCTTGTATCTTTCTGTGCTCTCAACAGTCCAGATTAGAATAGCTTTCTACTGTTTTGACCTCATTTGTAGCATATTTTCTTTACTATTTATAGTCTGAGTTTGTTCATCCAGAAATACAAACTCATCAAGTCTTTCCCTCTTTGACTCTTTCACTCATCCATTTACAATACCCCCATGGAGACCCGGTATATACATACACCCCGGGTGCAGACTCCCGTCGTTTTGACCGGACTTTTCCGCCGTCGCAAGACGGCACCTCCCAGGCCGGTACCTACGGCCCACACACGGGCTCCGTAAAAGGTCTGCATGACGGTCACTTGGTGACGTCTTTAAAGGCGCGTTTCGAAACCATCGAGCACGACCGTCCATTGACGTTGCCAGCAACCGTCTCCCAACCAGACTTCCGCCGGAATGGCAACGTGTTCCCTTAAGGGGGCCGTCTCTCAACAGAATTGCATACGTATACTATGCAGATCACTCACGCACCTGTCGCACCCTCCGACCGTCTCGCAGCCATCCTGTATGGATGGCTGAGCTACCATTCTTGGTCGGCTCTTGCTCGGCCAGCGGCTGGAGATCATAATTTGCCTTTCACACTCTCGGGCTTATGCCCATCAAGTATGTCCACCTCCAGGGGGGCTAGCTAGTATGCCGAATTCAGCAAGTGAACAAACATAGGTGTCATTGTCATTTAGGAAAGCATCCTGTGTCAACTGAATAGAACTACTAAAACGACTTAAAACTATGTACATAAGGATGAAATGAGAAGAAAAGAGTAAACAAATGTGTTGAAAATTAAATCCTAGAAATTAAAACAGTAAGCGCAAGTTGCCTCCGGGGCCAATCCACGTGGTTAAAATGAGCCGTAGCAATGAGGTATTGTGCCGCGCCTCCAGCCTGGGAAGGCCGACCCTCCTCGTTGTCTGTGATCGCAGTCACCACAGCTATTCAGCCTTGTGCCATCAAGGCCATTTGCGCTTCAACCTCCTCTTGATTGGGGATTCGAATGCGATCTAAGTCCATATCGCAGTACATCGTGTCCCCAAACAACTCGCTATCAAGCTGGATAATCAGCCGGTAAAAGCTGGACGCAATAGACGGTATCAGCTGGGGAAAGATGCTAAGAAATGGTGATTGGTACTCACGCTCGGCGATATAACGGATCTCTTGCCCTCAGATCTACCAATTGCTCGTCAATGATAGCCCACTGACGGTTAGCATCACCCGGACCCGGCCTCGCGTAGTGTGCTATGGTCTGAATCCGCAGATGCGCAACCCGGGACCTTAAACGCTTGTCGGCGGCGCGAGCGGCCGCTCGTTCTGCACCCGGCATCATACGTTGCGCCATCTAGAATATGCACCTTTATGAGCAAGTTTTATGTAAGTAAGCAACCTGTAAAGCTGAACTCACATCAATTAGCAAGTTTGTGAGGTTTGGAACCGGGTGCGTGATGGGTCGATTCATCGGTTCATGGACATTGGTGAGGAGCTGACAGCCATTACATGGTTAGACCTCTACTCCAACAACCAGGCTGCAGTGACCAGCTCACAAGATTCCGCATCGCTCCTCTCTCATGCTTCAACCGGTCACGCAACTCAGCAGTCACACTCGCCAACGCTGAAAGCTCTCCTGATATGAATCCCACCGGTAAGTAGTCAAGTTTGAACTCGTCGGGCTGTGCCCGAACGTGATCCTGGATTATGAACAACATGCAAAGTGAGTCACCTGTACAGTTCCTAGAGCGTTGGTCCAATTCTTACTGACCAGTACCTGATCGAGCAGGGTCCTCCCGGCCGGTGGGGCACCCCTCACAGGACTGCACGAATAGACATCCAGTATGGGACTAATCAGGACCTCCTTGGCGTGGTTCTGAATAAAGGTCTAAGAACGACATAGTGTCTACATGAGTATCGAGTGGACTAGTCTCAAGAAAGGGATCAGCTTACCTTGAAATGGTTCTGGTAAGGGTAGATCCGAGCCTGTACCGACAGAGGAATGGCCGCTGGAGCAGAATTACCAATCTGAGCCAAATCCCGAGAGCGGTGTGGTGAGATTGATCAAACCCATAGATCTAGTTAAAAACATTTTATTACACATAAATAGTGTTTAAGATGTTAGAGAAGAAGGGGTAAAATATAGAATACAATGTATAATAATCACTGGGTTAAAACATAGCTAAAATAAAGCCCAAATCAGGCCTAAAATACATAAATCCTTATGAATAATGATGAAATTAAAGGCGACGAGACGGAGAGAATTTTTCAAGGAGAAATTTTTGGGCAACAAAATGATTTTTGTTGGAACAGTTCTGGGTCGGAAAATGAAGGAAAGAACTGATGTTTTTTAATTATCATGCGTAATCAGTTTGTTAAATAGACTACATACACGACAATCAAAATGTGGTTTGAATAATGAATATTCAGAATGCCACAATCACAATAATGAGGAAAAAGAAGAAGATATTTCAGAGTCATGAGTTGAAGAAAAAGAACTACTACTTAGGGTTCATAGACTACAAAAGTGTGATCAGTCATTCAAAAAACATGCTACTTAATACTATAATCTAGTCTCATGAAGAGTGATTAGAAAGAGAAAGAAAGACAGTTGAAGAGGTTATTTTAGGGATGAGTGGAAAAGACAGCAAAATTCCAACACCCCTCCGCTACTCAGACCTAAAAGAACTAAAAGGTTTCAAGAGATTGATTGATAGCTTTTTGTGTTTGAGACCGCTGTGGAGAGTTGTGTAGAAGAGTTGAAAGAGAGAGGTAGGAAATGGAAGAAGAGTTGAACGGAGTTAAGAGAGGTTATTGAGGTGTAGGAGATCAAGGAAAGCGAGATCGATCGACGGCTAGAAGTATTTAACACCATCAAACTTGATTTCATCGACATGGTGAAGGACACCATCGGCTAGTCGGAAATGAGTGAAATCAGTCGGGTCATTGAGTTGGTTGTAGTTTTCTTGAAGGGTAGCGTGAGCGGCTTCAGTTCGAGGGGCTTTCTCAGGAAACTTAACCCAGCAGTTGTGAGGTCGATGGCCAGGCTTTTTGCAGTGAGAGCAAACGGCCGAGTTTGAGTTTGAGGATGCTTGATCATTCGGTCGAGTGAGAAGCGATTGTATTGGAATCGAAGAGGTTGAGGGTGGCTTTTTATCAAGATCGTTTTGAGCAACATAGCTCTCAAGTTTTTTGATGACAGATTCGAAGGACTCGGTACCGTAGTTCATCGAAACAATGTCGCGAAACGACCGATAATCGGACGGGAGTTTCTTGAGCATGAGGATTGTTCGGACACGATCATCCAAGATAAGTCCTGACATGGTGATTTTCTGATTGGCTGATCGAACAGATGGGATAAACGATGTGATCGATGAAAAATCGAGATGTAGAAACTGATCAAGCGCAGTCGTTTGAGATGTGAGGTCGTCACCGGCGTACTGAGCCTTCAAAAGTTTCCAGAGTCCCTGACCGTTGAAGCGAGGGGTTGAGGGAAGAGCCGAGCTAACGAAACCAAGCACTTCTTGGCCAATGTAAGCAATAATTTCAGAATAAGCGGTGTTGTTTAGCTTATTCCATGCTACCTTGTCGTCTTCAGTTTTAGTTTCGACCTTGTTTTCGACAATGTCCAACAGATTCAATTTGAAAAGTCGAGCCTCCATCGGTAGTAACCAAAGGGCATAGTTATGTGGAGTGAGGAGAACCTTGGTTTCTCTGATGACTTCGGTGGACATTGTGAGTGGAAGTAGGAAGGGGGAGTGGTGAGATAAAGTATGTTTTTTAATAAGTCGAGGAGGTGTTTTCGACTGTTAATCGTGATGAAATTAAAGGCGACGAGACGGAGAGAATTTTTCAAGGAGAAATTTTTGGGCAACAAAATGATTTTTGTTGGAACAGTTCTGGGTCGGAAAATGAAGGAAAGAACTGATGTTTTTTAATTATCATGCGTAATCAGTTTGTTAAATAGACTACATACACGACAATCAAAATGTGGTTTGAATAATGAATATTCAGAATGCCACAATCACAATAATGAGGAAAAAGAAGAAGATATTTCAGAGTCATGAGTTGAAGAAAAAGAACTACTACTTAGGGTTCATAGACTACAAAAGTGTGATCAGTCATTCAAAAAACATGCTACTTAATACTATAATCTAGTCTCATGAAGAGTGATTGGAGTCTCGAGTGCACCTACATACAAAGAAATGATTGTCCATGAGTGTCAGCCGCGCTACCAAAGGTTGGAGGCCACTTACCCTGTTGTACATTGGTGTTACTGGAGGGTCGGCAACCACCACTGTCACGAGGCAAAGCATTGGGGTAGGGGCGGGTGCGGTGGCTTGTCCGATTGGAAGGATTGGATCAATTCACTTGAGTGGACGCCGCAGATCGGGCTGGAGACCGGCTCTCATTTTCTGACTGGCTGGTGGTTGACATACTTGCAATGTGCGGTGGGGATGAGTTAGCTGGGGGAAGGTGGTACTCGAGACACCAAATTCAAAGTCAAACGCTGAATAAAAGAGTTTGAAATCCAAAGGGGGACTTAGAAGAAACTGAAGAGAATAAAATGGTTGGCTGGAGAATGTGGTCATGTGTTGCCATGGACTGACTTAAGAACTGCGCGAGACAACCAGCCGGTTTGGGAAGGCAGCTCATCCACATCCTCTGGATGACGGTTTCACACAACTGCTCCCCACCCTTTCACACAAGAATTTGTTCTGATCGATCAGATTGATCATGGCCCCACCACCTAACCTTTCTGTCCGCTTATCCTCGGTGGGCAAAGGCAAGGATGCCTTCCTCAAGCCAGCCAAGAAATCATCTGGTGACCCCTATCAATTACAAGGACCCTCGGGAATAAACCAATTCAATGAGAGACCCACTCGGGTTGGCCTAAATCAACCTGAGCAGTTTGCTGGACTGGAACTGATCACACCCTGATTTGATTCCCCTGCGATTGGTGTTCGAATGACCCACACATGCAATAAAATGATGCAAGAACAATCTAGCGCGGCTACACGTCAATCTGCTCAGTCAGATCTGTTGACTAATCCGCTTGAGCAACCAGCTTGGAGTAAGGCCCAATATGTGTTGGACGTGAGAGCACGTTTGGGCATGCATTGGATTGCTATGGCATGAAATCATTACCGCTAGGCAGTGTCAATTCCCTGACCTCTGATTGATTGATGGTGCTCGCTTGTCCTTTGAGACCAATGTTCACATCTTTTGTATGTTATGAAAGGATCGTTCCTTGGCCAAGGTTTTTCTGTGTACATTGATCGATCATCACCGTGCATCCAGAAACATACCCAATTTGGCCAGGGCCAAGGCAATTGGCAGCAGCTGGCAACCGACAGTCTGTGGATTGGATTGCAAGATCTATTGCCTCCATCCTAATTTCAGCAAAGTTACATCATTACCAGTGTCTGGGTAAACGAAAATGGTTCACCATTCCCGGCGACAAATAGCTCACAAGGTTGACAAGAGTAAGATTGCATTGGCCGCGGTCTCTCCTGTAATACAATCCACAGACAGCTGGTTGCTGATGCCTCATGTGATGCTTGAAAGGTTTCTGGTATCAGTTGCCAGGTGATAAACGGGACAAGTGGTACTGCCGCCTTTGTGGGGGAGGGGGAAGGGGAAGCAAGGCCGCAAACAGACACCTACACGAGGCCACGCCCGCTCATAAAGCTGAACTTCAGCGTCGGGCTGAGATGGCTCAGGCCGAGGAAGCCGCGGCAGAATCACTGGCACTTGGGCCACCTGAGATGCGATGGACATCGGCACGTGAGGAGGACCCGGAGGCTGGCCCACAGAACGAGTTCGCTCCAGAAGAATTGCAAGCCGATTTGCAATTTATCGACCAGGATGAGTGGTTCGAAAACCGACGCGCACCCACGAGTATTGCTTCATCGGAATCAACTGCGAGCAGCGAAAGGGGGGGGTGGGATGGTATGATTTCAGAGGACATTCCCCAACACACAGAAGACACATTTGAGGGGACTCGGCCGCATGGAACCAATAACTTAGAGTGGTGGCCCTTCCGGGCCAAGGAGGTGAGTGATTAGTGTTGTAACACCAGAGGCTGGTGGACCAAGAGCTGAACCGTCTGTTTGCTCATATAATAGTACTTAATTAGCTCGTTGGTCATCGGACACACCAGGACAATCATCTCCCGAGTGATGTATCAACAGGTAAGGCTAATGTTCAGCCTGTGTGGAACGTGCCTGCCCGATTGGACCACCGTCCGCCGTGGAAAGAAAAATCTACGAAAGCTGCTCAATTTCAATGTCATTGGATGCCGATCTGTACTCAACCGACCCGTCCATTACCTCAGCCTGAAGAATACACTTGCGTTGGAAATAGTGAACCCAATGGTGGAACCTCATCTAAAATACTACCCAGAACTCGCCGAGGGAAGGACAGTTTCACGTTTGTCTCAGTCTCGCAAGTGGCTCAAAGACCTTGGGCCCAAAACCAGAGCCCAAATGGTACGACATCAAGGAAGCGATTACTATTTACACGAGTTGGTGAAGCTGAAGTCGAGTCTTATTGTAGTCCCAGCTTACTTCTGTGAAATTGATGGGGTTATGCATGCTCTCTGCCAAACACCCGATATTCAAATCTGTTCTCACACCGGCCAGTTGAAATTCTTGATCATCAAAAACCCCCCCTTCGACTCTCCGCAATTGACCCGCATAGTGGTTGAAGACTTTGCAACTGATTATCCTTCAATGACCGTGGAAGGCGGTGGACTAATGTCAGATTTGTGTGGTAACCAGATGTATGGTGAGTCCTTAAACTTTGCAATTCTACTGCAGAAACAGCCCTGGGCCTGATCATAATCTTAACCACACATGAGGTAGAACTTGGGCCGGACTGTGACATTATTGGACCAATATTCAATCCATGGCGTTTGAAGGCGGCCGGCCGGGTTATTCGACATATGCCTATATGTTTGTATGCTGATGACACGTCTGGCAATAGTTCAAAGAAATGGAACAAACACATTTCTTACTACTTTACCTTAGCCGGGCTCCCCCCTAAACACACCAACCAACATTTTAATTGCCATTTCTTGTGCACCTCAAACAGCGCAGGCGCAATGGAACTCTCGGAGGGTATTGTTGATGAGTTGATGTGTGTTCTCACTTTGACGTGATATCAGTGTACATTTTTACTGAAATTACTCTTATACAGGAGATTGATAGAGGATGGATGTGTAGCGCACGACAGCGGGCTGGGGGAAGAAGTGTTGGTGACCTCTAGTCTTCTCTGTTTCTTGGCCGACAGTCCAATGCATGCAGAGATTAGCAGTACAGTTATGCCTGGAAATTCTCGGAATCCGTGTCGTGCGTGTGATTTGTCAGTTGGTAGTGTCAGTATGCGGAAAACCATGGCATATTTGCAATTCTTCCTGCAGATCAGTGCCGATGGGTATTGGGTGAGTTGCTTAGACTTTGCTAGATCAAGATTTCATATACACCATTCTAAGCCACATGTTTTCCGGACAGATCAAGAATGGGCCTCGTTTGTGGCTTGGAATTATTGCAAACTGCTATCTGCTCTGGGACATTGCCAAGCAGCCGAGGACGAAGACCCGGGTTGGTCTCCTTGGGGGAGATCTTGGAATAAAGACTCTATCAACAATGAGATCATCATTTTTAAGTACGAAATCGCTTCGAAGGGAGATTCTGCCACTCCAGCCAACCGGGTGTTCTCAAAACGAATAGATGAGATTGATCGTACAAACCCATCCAGACTGTTCAACCCTTTTTTTCGAGTTCCAGGCTAGTTTCTCTCATTTTGGGTGCTTCATTGGCACTGCGCTTATTTATGTTGTGCTCTTTTTTGCCAGATTTTGACGGGTGTACTGACACTCTGGTCGAGGTGCTGCATGTTGTCCTGCTTGGTGTAGTGAAGTATATGGTTCGAGACGTTATGGGCCGAATGAAACCGGCCGAATTGGCAAACATCGAAGGCTGGTACCGCGCTTTTAAGACCACATCTCTAAACATCCCATCTCTTTCACCATACTACATGGCCAAGCACTCCTCCAACTTCATCGGGAAAGAGTTCAAGACAGTCCTACAGAGCGCACCGTTTGTCCTTTTTGATTTCATGACCGATGACGAACGACTTGCGTGGCGTGCACTGTGTGAACTGGCTCCTCTGGTGTTTCAAACACAGATAGAAGAGATGGACGTGTACCTTGCCGACCTCCGATTTCACATACAGAAGTTCTTGTTTTACATCATCCGAACAACCGCACAGTGGATCAACAAACCAAAGTTCCACATGCTTGTCCACTTACCTGAATCAATCAAAAGGTTCGGGCCAGCAAGTCTCTTTGCCACCGAGAAATTCGAGAGCTACAACGGTGTCCTGCGAAATGCTTCAATTCATTCAAATTGCCAAAGTCCTGGGAAAGACATTGCAATCACGTTTGCCAACTACAAGGTTATTCGACACCTCATTTGCGGCGGACACTTTCAGCACCCCAAGCACCCCGGAGTTTATGTAGCGGCCGGCTCGGCAGTAGCTCAACTATTTGGGGATAACCCCCTTGTCCAGAAGTCGATGGACTACAATCACACAGCGGTGTCAGGCCAATGCAGCTTTACGCACCCACTCAACATCCGCCTGCCTCCTGGGGAGAAAACTCAAATTCCACTGCCTTTACAATTGCATCTGCCAGCACAACAGCTGTATCAGGTGGCTGGGTTCCAATTAAACGCCCATCGCACGCTCCGCAAGGGGGTTTTTATATTGGTGGGTGCCAAAAATACATGATAAGTTTGACTACAATGTACATTCACATCAGTTAATCTACAGTGTCCTTTGAGCAGATACGCCAGGGGGAGGAAAATGCTCACCATACCGTTGGGTGCATTGATCACATGTGGGAGGCGAGGAGAAGGTCTCAACTTTCCCACTGGGTGTGCTACACGGAGTATAAAAGGGGGGGGTGTTGATGATTTCTATGGAATGAGGAAGATTTCAAAGACTGGTATTACAAAGTTTGTCAAAATTGATGTAAGTGCTAACTACATTCTTGTGGATGTGGTCTAATGGCTGGCTGATGCAACCAACCTGCAGGATGTTGTGTCTACGATCAATGTCCAGCATAATTGCCACGCAGGAGGGTGTGAGGTGGTGTCAACTGGGAGGGTGATTGTTGAACGCGAAGAATCTGAAGAGAACAACAAAACCGTGACGCACAAGAACACTGTTCATTATTTGGTCAATTCCCTAGAGATCCCAGGGGCTAACTTGCTTCGTCATTGGGTGGACCTCCCACAAAGGGAAGAAGACGTGAGCGATCTCATCCCAATGCTCCAACAAGGCCTGGCAGTGTGGCTCAATGTGAGGGGGGATGATGGCCCGGAGGATGAGTATTTTGACGCCCCCTTGGCGGAAGGGGCAGATTAATGGGGTTTTTTGTCCATGTGTAATTTTGAAGTTTTCTGATTATCACTCGCTTTTTCTGATCTTACCAATATTTTTAATATTTTCCTTACCTCTTATGGCACTTTTTCATATGGCTCATCACACTTATTTTGTGTCAAATTTTTTTAAGTTTGTTGCTCCTTTTATAATACATCTATTTCAACCTTTTCTTCATCATTATTTTGAAATGGAATTTTAGAATGGCCTGAGCACGATATTGCCGATCTGGGCAAGCCCTGTCTGCCTTGGAGTGCTAGAAAAGTACAGCTACAGTGCATTTCCAGAAACAACACAGAGTCGTTTGGTGTGGTTGGGCTAATCTCAGCCGATCTAGGAACAACTATGAAGACAGTTGCAAGCCGTCTTGGACGGGTTTTGAAGTCGCCTCCAAAGGGTTTGTTGCTGGGGACGTTTTCGAATCGGTGTAGAAGTTGAAGGCAACAGCACTTGGTCTCCAAGGCGTTTGGCAAGCCGCCTCGGAGCTTATTACAAGACACAAGCGTCTTTTCTTGCTGGAATCGATTGCACCGTAGCGCACGAGGACGTTTTCAAGGCGACCCCAGTCGCCTTGAGAACATCCTCGTGCATCCACAATGGGGTTTTCACCGAGCATCTTGAGGGTCTATTCGGCAACACCGTGCTGATGACGTGGGTGAAGGTGACTGCCGGTCCGGGGCGGTGATTGCGCTGTCGAGCAGAGGAACTCGTTTCATAGGTACGGCTACTGGTGGGCGGTATTTCCTGCCGTCGTGGGACTGTCACTATGTCAGCATGGAGACATGATTTTCTTAGCGACGGCCACGATGTGTGATCCTAGGATCAACCTGTGTGGGGGCCGTCTACGGCGGTGTGTGCACCGTGCTCCTATCTGTGAGACGGGTATCAGCTGTAGCGGCTCAAGGATTGCCGTCGGATCCCCGTCCTGGGTCAATTTCCGTCCAACTTTGATTTTTCTGCACCCGCGGTGTAGTAGTCAGTCTGTAAGTTGTTTTGAGCAAAAGAGAAATATTTTTGTACAGGGGGACCCCAGTGAAGCCATTTTTGGAGCCCGCCATTTCTTGCTAGCTTTAAGCAAATTGCTCGAGGTAAAACAATGAAAAACCCGAGAAATTCCTACTGCCGTATAAGATACAAGGAGGAACCAATGGTGATTTATAGCCCAAAAATTCATACATTTTGGTTACGACTATTGGCATGAGGCTTCTTGGGTTCTCCCCCTCCCCTGTGAACACACTTTCAACATTACCTCATATCCAGTACTGGATATGGAGTAAAAAAACTGGATATCCAGTCTTTTTTTAGAAAAAAAAATGGTGTGAAGTGTTGAAATTTTAGGACTCAGGCGCGTAAGAGGATGAGGGCCAAAAAAGGAAAGGACTCTTCTGTGGGAAAGGTTCACGGAAAGGAGTGTGAAGAACCGATGATTTTTATTCACTGTAGGTAGGCTAGCTTAAGTAGACTAGTTACAAGTGGTCAAAATGTGGTTTGAGAAAAATGAATAAGAAAAAAGTATTTTGAATAAAAATTGAGAGAAGATAAAACAAGTTCTTGGAAGTAACAAACTATGCAAAACATCTCATTCTCTTTTAGTAATGTCAGATGAGTTAATCAAGAAAAAATGTTTTAAATCACAGATAACAAGAGGCGTTAATTCTTATTAATCAATCTTTGATAAATCAATAATAAAGTCAGAAAAAAGAAGAATCCATCTTAGAGACATGAGTAGTTAAAAAGGCTGATTTACTTAAGGTTCAAATTTGACTCAGAAGGGGGCTCAGAATAACCAAAAACAAGCTACTTGAAGAATATAATCTAGTCTGATTTAAGATGACTAGAAATGGATGAAGGGCAGAGAGAGACAGAACTGAGGAAAATTCAACATGAAGAGGTGAACAAAAAAATACTACATATCCAGGTTTATTTTATTGCACATCCAGTGCGGGATATGAAGTTATGTTTTGAGTGTGTGAGACTGATTTTGGGTTCCAAGAAAACCCTTCAAGTGGTAAATTGTGAAGCCTTGTGAAGCCCCTCAAAGCAAATTTGCAAAACAATACTACCAATATGAGTAGGGGGTCGGAAAAACAACTCCCAAAAACAGCAATGGGTCTATACTATACTTTACTATAACTGGCCCTTTTCAGTGTAGTAAAGTTTCCTCAAATTTCTGTTTATCATACCAATACTATAACCAGTGTGTTTCCCACCAAGCTTGGTATAGGATAGGCCACTTTTTGTGGCTCCAAAATTGCAATATATTGTAAGGGCCTTAGCTTTATCAACCATGAAGTGAACTCCAGAGAGCCCTTCTGTGGTCAAGAGACTCTCATAAGTAGCTGTAGATGTTTTTTTCAGCATCCACGGTAGTTTATAGTAGAGTAAATCACCCAAAAAAAATTCCTGTTCTCCTCAGTTATAGTAAAGGGCCCTTAAAATCAGCCTATAACCACACCCTTTATAGTAAATTTGGAAATATATATACAATAACAATACTATACCAATAACTGTAAAGTATAGACCCAGTGTTGCCAAAAATTGTCTGACAACTCCCATTTTGGTCGAGGGGTTGTTGGGCGGGAGTCGTTCCTCCAAATCGATGGCCAACTTTGGGAGTCGGCCATCCAATTAGTTTTTAATGTTTTTAATTTTTTTTTTTTAAATTTTAGGGAGTCGGCACCCCAAACCACCCCTCATGCTTGAGGGGGTTTGGGAGTCGTTTGATCCCATGACCGGAAGGATTTCCTTCCGGTCTACAAGAAAGAAAAACCTCATTGACGGAAGGGATTCCTTCCGGTCGATGAGGTTCTTATACCATCCTCATCAGCTGGAAGGGATTCCTTCTGTCAATGAGGGTAAAAACCTCATCGATGGGAAGGAATTCCTTCCAATCAATGAGGTTGTTATAAACCCCATTGATTGGAAGTCAATGAGGGTAACAACCTCATCAATCGGAAAGCATTCCTTCCAATTGATGAGGTTGTTATGAACCTCATTGATTGGAAGGAATGCCTTCCGATTGATGAGGTTGTCATACCTCATTGACCGGAAGGATCCCTTCCAGCCTATGAGGTTGTTATACCTCATCAACCGGAAGGAATCCCTTCCGGTCGATGAGGTTTTTCTTTCTTGTAGACCGGAAGGAAATCCTTCCGGTCATGGGATCAAATGAATCCCAAACCCCCTCAAGCATGAGGGGTGGTTTGGGGCGCCGACTCCCTAAAATTTAATTAAAAAATTAAAAAATTAAAAACCAATTGGATGGCCGACTCCCAAAGTCGGCCATCGATTTGGAGCAACGACTCCCGCCCAACGACCCCTCGACCAAAATGGGAGTTGCCGGAAAATTTTTGGGAGTCGTTTTTCCAACCCCCTATGAGTATTGTTGTAGATTATTTTGAAACAGAATGGCTACATGGGTGTACTGAAAAGTTGTATCATATTGAAGAAGAAAACACACAAATTTTTTGTATATTACTTGCTTATTTATAGAATTTAATTGTAGGAAGCAGGACTCTGTTCTGATAATACTGATCCACAAATGAACTCTTTATCTAGCAAGCTTCAATCAAACCTCAATGCAAGCTTAGGCCATTGTGCTGATGCAACTTGGTGGTACACCCCTGAGACTTCAAAGGGGTGGACCAGAACAAGGTACAACAAAAGTGTGAGTTCAACTCAAGCTCAGTGTAGAGTATGGTCTGAGCTCTTGCATGTCAACTGACACCAGTTGCTTGACTTTTTCTTATAGTGTTACCTCCTTGAATGTGTGTTTCTCTCTTCCTCTCTCTAAATATACGACTTTTCTCCTCTGTCCCTTAAATGAAGATTTGTACTCACTTGACCAGAGGGGTTTAAGCCTTAGAAAAATGACAATGTATGAAGTCACTAGGGGGAAAAAGATTAAGTAATTTCAGGATCTCAATTGAAAATGTGTCCATTTATTCTTTCACCGTCCACAATTCCAATATAAATTCTACAAAGTTTTGTTGCAGTTAATTATTGTTAAAGTACAGAGGCTTGCGATAAGAGATTGTAGGGTTTTTGTAGTAAACGAGAGGCTATAACACATGTATTCACCATCCTCTGCTGACTGGTGAGGTTCTATAACGATTTTGATTACCGCGGCAGTTTTAATATCTGCGATTATGTTCTGGAATACTCTAAAAAGTTGTGGGCATTGCTAGAAAGTTTGCCCCGAGAGAAAGCAGTTCGGACCGTAAGGCGAGGAAAAAGTGCTCGGTATCCTGGCCCGCTCAGTGTGACGGTGTTGCGTTCTAAATCATCGATTTTTTGGAAGCCTGCAATTCATCCAGGGACAACGGGTCTCGATGAGCAGTATCTGTGACACCTGCACTCTCAGTTGAGCTGACTTCAAGATGTAATTGGCTGGTGCCGTTTCGTGAGATCGTGCGGGATGCATTTTGTTGGATGCGATAGAGGTCTAGTAGCCTTCTAGCCTGGAGGTTCAACAGAAGCTCAATCCTGAATGGCGAAAGTAGGGATCCACATGATGATCAGGTTATGGTACCTTACAAGAATAATCTGAGAATAGATCCAAGTTTTCAAGTGAGAAATTATTTCAACGAGCTTGACTTACGCATTACCACTGATTGCAAACGGGCCATGCATTCCCTGAAAATGGTTGAGCGAACACATGCCTGATAAGAAGGAAGCTTGTCCGCAACGAATCCGATGATAGATGTGTGACTCGATTCACTCACAATCTGTGTTACCGTTAGCCACGCCTGGCTACGCATATACGCTGGACCGGGAAAAGACACCTGAAGCAGTTTCGCTGGTAAGCATCGGCGGGTATCATGTATGCTGGCCGGGAGAGTTTTTCTCACTTACCTGCCAGATCAATATCGGAACGAGTGCCAGCGCGGTCATATAGACTGCCAGTCCATGGATAAAAGAAGTCCAATACTCCTGCCTCACTCGATGCTTGATATGTGCAAACTGCGCCCCTGATTGGTCAAAGGGAGATATTGCCACTGCGAACGTGCACTCCTCTGTGCGTCGCTGAATTGCTCCGATAGAATTCTTCAACAAAGGTGCATACAACTATAAGGGTAGATACTTATTAGTTATGCTACAAATTCCTGTTATGTGCCGTGTAGTATATTAGCCGAAGTTGAGCTTACCAGACACAGCAATAATAGGTTCGACAAGCCAATAATAAGAGCCGTGCGCAAGTAGCGAGCCATATTTTTCTATTTTTGCCGGAACGTGAGTTTATTTTTTCTGCCACAATCGTGAATAGAGAGTGATTTTTCCTGTGGCAAACCTCATGCAATAATATTTCCCTAGCTGGGAGTAACGCAGCTATGAGCCTAGAAGATTGATAGGTATTCGGATCATATTTAGATCTGTAGTCTTCCAGAACTGCAAGAATCTCGCCGAGAATCCGTCGTATGATCTTGTATTCTTCGTTGGATTGAGTGGTCAAGATGATAACGCAGGCTAATTGGTGGGGACGACACATTCATTAGCCATAGGTTAGGAGGACTGGAAAGGAATATATTGTGAACACACGTATGATCCAAGTCAGCACACAGACGAATAAGGTATTCATTGTAATCACCACATAACGTGGCAATGGAACCGTCCGACCATGCCTTGTTGCTTCTGGCCACTGGTCATCCCAATAATTAGACAGACATTGGCAAGCGCAAACCCAAATGAAAGCTTTGAAAACAAAGGTGAAAAAAAGAGTCATCAGTTTGGTGCGTGAGTTTTGAGGAAAAAAAAAAAGGGGTTTTCGTAGGACGCACCCCTTTGAAGATTAGAACGTGGTTTCAAAGAAAAAAACAAGGAAGAGAAGGAGCGAAAGGGAAGCAAAGGCAAAATCAACAAGTCAGCGTGAGCGAGCAATAAAAGTTAATTGGGTCAACCTGAGGTGTACCATCAACTGACCAAGATGCTGTCAAAACGACCAGAAATTTACAGGCAAGAAGGGGTACCTTATTTGTCAAATCTCTTTCCCCTTCATCAATCTTCTGCTGAAGCGTTAAATCAGCAATAACCACTGTTAACCAAATTTGAATTTGTCCGTTGGTCAGTGGCAATACCGTGAATCCATGGGCCTATGTTATGGCATATATAATGTGAAGGGAAGCCTTGTTATAATTGATTACCCTCGTTACTTACGCGGCGGATAGAGAAAATAAGCCAAGCCGGACATATTGGGCACATCAACTCTCCACAGGCCAACTGAATAATCATAGTTCTACGGTCATTAAAATACATTGGAAAATACGATAAGCTTAAATGATCTCACTCAAGACTTACGACGAGTTACGGTTATCACCCTAAACGTCCTGGTTTTGAACCGGACATACAACAAGTAAAAGCTTTGAAGCCACATTCTTGATTTTCGAGTTTTTGGACAACAGAAACCCTCAATAAAATCAGCACCTCTATGCGCACAGGAAAATCGGCTCGACATATCATGTACATGTGGATATGGGGTACATATCAATGTGCGTATGAATGATCCTGTATCTTTTTGAAACTTACAAAGCGTAGCAGCCTATAAAAAATCTCAAAGTCAAACGGGCCCAATGTGGCAGGGTTGGAGGCTACCGCCCGGGGAATCAAATCAAAAGTATAAGTAAGAGAAGACGATTCCATTGATTTTATTGAATTCATCTCCGCCAGGTCAAATGACACAGGCTTGAGTCGGAGTCACTCACCGTTGTGGCCACTTCCAGATATCCAATCGTTGCTTCATAAGGATTTACGTCTTGTGGTATACTGCTGATGAAGTTGATCAAGCGCATTTCGTCGTCCATGGTCGATAACTTGATCACCGGGTCCGGATTTTTGTACTGCTGACGGAATTTTGATTGGCAATGGTGTTTGTAAGAAGTTCCTGAGGCAATGATCAGGTAATTGTGAATGGCCGGTGGCCTCTAATTATAGAGACGCAGAAGCGCTTGATAAACTCGTATAATGCGTTTCATGAGATCGGCGAGCGGTCGATGCAAATATCCTATTTATGTGAGCTTATTTGGGTGTGGCCGATGCTTTGAAGCTTGCTTGCAAGGTGGGCAAGTTACAAGTGTGACCTGTAGGTTGTATTTGTACGTGTAAGTAGTGGATTTGCAACTTGACTCTCAAACTGAGCTTCGCTCCCTTGCAGCTCTCCAAGACGGACTGCTGTGTCAGTTTATACTGTTTGTGTACAGATACATACTTATACATAATCATCATCATCAGCGTAAACATATGTTGATATCTACTTGAGGCGTGACTTGTGGAGTTGTGAGTGCGACTCTGAGCTTGCGATTCTACCAAGCGAAATGGGGATTGAGGAGGATGACCTCGCCAAATAAAAGCATCCCCAAACCTACGCTGAAGCATGCTGGAGCGCTGAAGTCGGAGAATGACCAAGGGTTCTCCAACTCCCGACGGCGGCCACCTGCCATCATTATGACAAAGATTACACATCGGCCTCGAGTTGGACGCGACCTGTCATATCCACTGCCGCTGATTTCTTTGCAATCGGAAAGGTTATCTTCCATCAGATCTTACTCGCCGCTGTTGATAGCGGCTATGCTAAGTAAGCATGGATAGTTTGTGGTAGATAGAAGGGCTCAGTCTTCGCGTAATGTTAAATGAAATGTAAACATCATACATGAGTTGATGGGCTCTCTGAATCTTTTTCTACGATTGTAAATATGGAGTTTCTTCAAGTTCGCTCTCCGACATTATCATGTCGATGAATCACCATCAAACTCTCGGCTGTTTGTACAGACAGGAAGGAAAAGCGCATGAGTTACATATTCTGGTAGAACAGATACATACCTGCTCAGGCAGCCAGGCTTGATGCGTGGAATTAGGTGTTGAAGCTGATTCCACAGAACCCTGGGGTTGGCTCGCTTTGGTCTGCTGGGGACTCTTGGTACTGGTAGAGTCTGGTCATCAAGATTCAAGTCAGTATGTATTCAAGCCATACATGCACACCTCCACATTCAACACCTCTTCTTCTATCTAGCTCAGCGTGCCTCTCTGGGGGTTTGAGAGGCCCCTGATCCTTTCGATGCCTTCGGATAAACTCATTCTACTCTGCTGAATCCTCCATACACATGTTTGCAATCCACACACAATTGTAAATAATTATTTGTATGTGCAGGGCCAGAAGTTTCTCTTTCCGATGAGCAAGACCTGATCCCCTGAAACCGAAAGATGAAAAGAACGGGTGACCACATTTGATTCTTAAGGATACGGCGGGGTAAGGAAGGGAAAGTGTAACGCTGCGGATAGATGACTTGGTTCCCGGTTCGGCATTGGCTGATAGAATCGATTGGCGAAGGCTTCTAGGGCGAATTACGCCATATCTTTGTTGAAGGTACAAATTGTGCCATATCTTTCTTTGAGATGAAAATTAGGTCATGCCTTTCTTTGAGATTTGAATATGATTGAGATCCGCATTGAATGCTTCAACATCGCTCGAAATACCAAGGGAAATAAGGGAAGGTTTTTCTCCATCACACTCTCGAATTATAGTACCCAAAGTAAGACTAATAAACTCCATGATTTCCTCAAGGGGTTTCAAATACCCTGACCTGTGCTTGATTTAGACTACCACCGGCCATAGATACACACCCGGACGAATCGGAATAAGTTGGTTCGCCCGCGAGGCGCACCAGCACTACAGGCGACCCCATGCCGCAATACAGTAAATTAGTTGCGCAACCGGCGGGTGCGTGATTGCAACGGCCTGTACACCCTCTGGGGGCGTTGCCGGCCAAGTGTATGCAACAGTTACGTGTTGGGTGCAAGCTGGGGTCGTAATGACCTGGGTTCGCCCCAGGCCGTCCTGGTGCAACGCACCCAGGCCATACCAGCACCCGAGACGGACTGCGACATGCAATTGTAACCGCCCGGGGTCGCTATGCTGACTCGAGACCGGGCTCGCCATCAGTCCGCCGATAGGCGGCACTGGTCGCTCGATCGGTCAACCTTTTTCCTTTCCCAACACCCACCTGGAAAGATGTCTTTTTAGGTGAGTGTTCGAGAAAATAATCGATCTCTTTTTTTTTTTTTGTTTTTTTTTGACTTGACTTGTGAAGATTTTTTTCGAAGTCGGATGAATAAGTGGCTGGGGGGCGAGTCAGATACCCATGATCCTGCCTCCCCTCCATCGGTGTTCTATCCTAGTTTGGTGTGGGCTCCCTTGGGTTTCAGCGGTGTGAGATAATGTTGGGTTCGAGCCCGGCATTGACCAGCTTTTTGGCTCTCCCCAACCTGGCTGTGTGACCTGTCGAGCCATAGGGCCGGTGCGCCATCATGACGCCCGGCCTTTGATGGCGGCGGTCCTCCGACTCCGTGGGCGATAACTGAGACGCACCCATACAGGGTGAGACGACCAAATCGCGGCCCAGCAACACGCAACTATGACGGGTTCCGTTTGGACGCCCGGATCGCGCGAGGCGCTTGCAGGGTCACGAGGGCGCCTCGTTAGCTGCACCCGAGGCGGCGGACCCGATCCGGTGTGTACCTGATTAAATAACAGGGTGATTCCGATTGCGCAAACGAATGTTTACATATTAATACTGTTTACTTCGATGTCAGGATTTTTCTCTCTTACATTAGGGGCTGGTCCCCTTTAGGCTCCTGTTACTTCTCATTGAGGAGACATTGACTTCGCGCCGCAGGTCAACATAATCCAGCAGAATCCAGCCTTTTGATTGCAGTATGTTGTGATACTTGCATCACTCCAGGAGCAAATCATGGACTCCATTCAATTCATATGTCTCATTTGCTGGCTTGTTTTAGTGATATTCAAAGTGGGATCATGTTCAGAATCTAACTTAACCCAAGTCCCTCGATCGGAGGGCCTGTACCAGGCGGGCGCAAGCGCCCCTCGCGAAGCGAGCCTCCGAAGGAGGGACTTGTGAGTAAAGTAGGAATATTCGCGTGGAAGCTGGAGGGAGTTAGTAGGCAAAAAATTTGCCCTTACATTTTCCCCTACTTCCACATGGAAGTTTCATCCGCCGTTTGGACTAGTCCAACGGCGTGCTTCTTCTGAAGCCTTGGGTCTTGACCACAGGTCACGGTGCCCTCTGGATTTGGGAGCACCGGCCATTGAAGATGGTCATTTTGCTTCGAGGTCAAAGAAGGCCATCGAATTACTTCCTCAGGATTCCCGCATAGTCTGACATACTGTGCTTGTGGCTGATTATGTGTGGTCAAAGCCTGTATCAGGCTGTACTTGACGCATACTACCGGTATTGACTGCCTGACAAAATGACATGAAGAGATAGTGATATAACGATCCGAGACTGCTGCTTTTGATCTATGATTGTAATGCCAGTTAGCAAACGAGCTCCTGATCTTATTCCAAGTGGTCGGAAGCATCACACTGCGGCAATTGATTCGCCTGGCTGATCCTCAAATGGGCCTGCCACTGCCCGTTTCATCTTTGGAATCATCTTAAAGTACATCTCCGATATCCGCGACTTCCCAAACCCGGTACCTGCCAAGAGAAACGTGTTGCGGCCTCGCGCGAGATTGAAGACGGTATCGACCTGCAATGGCTTTGCCTCCTGCTGGTAAGTATCCATCGAGGTTTGCTTGATGAACTCCTTGAGCTTCTCATCGGTCTTTTCATAGATTTTCTTGTACAGATTGACTCCGGTCGGTGTTCGCACCCGCTTGGCAATAGATAACTGATGCATGATGAGGAATGGGTCGGTTGTATAAGACTTTAAGCGTAGCGATCTTAAGACTGGAACTGGTTCATTGGAGGATGAAGGTCAATATTGCTCTTCTTGTTATTTCGAAATTCTCTGCTCATTCAGACCAATCCTTCATCCAAACACATAAATACATTATCACATACAACGGTTATAAGTACAGCAGTGTGGCACTTACAGCTCCTGTACATAATCAACTAGGGGCTTCATTTGACATCTGTAAGGGACATACTATTCATTTTACCACTTGTTATGGAATAAACTCAATTTCTGCTGGATTTGGATCCCTCACTTTCCATCCAATGGATGGATAAGTGATCACAACAAATGTTACAAAAAAAAATTACCGGCCAATAGGTCATATGCTCACCTATGTGACAAGCTCAGCCCCGGCCCGTTTGGTTGGATGGGCCAGGAGTAGCGGACAGTTTAGAGGAAAATAGCCAAGAAAAGCCACAAACTGTACCAGCTTCCAGGCCAGAATTGTGACTTCACTCATAAGCCCCTCTTTCAGAGGCTCGCTTTGCGAGTTGCCTATGGCCCTCTGTTGAGGGGATTTGTTAAGCTAGGTTCAGAATAGGGTGCCATCTTTTTGAAAGGTGGGCGCCTGGGGGAGCCTTTCCCACAGCCAAAGCATGGCGTCTTTGGCTGGCGGAGCACCGGCGAACAGAGCACCGTCTAGAAAAAACTTTCAATCAACATAATGTTGTTTGTTTGTCCTTTGAAATTAAAGTGAAAAAAAAGAAGAAAATTCATTTTATGTGCAGAGAGCTTGAAAGTGAAGTAGGTGAATCTTAGGTTGAGCTGTCATCTTCAATGTTGCTGGAGACATTCAAGCCTTTGAGTCTTGAACTCTTTCCAGGATTCAGACTTCAGGACTCCTGCCGGGGCAACAGCATACACAAAGGGCTGGTGGACTTGGGTGTGCCCCATCCTATGGTGCCATCAACCCTAGTTAAGAAACACCTTTTTCCTGGAGGCTGCTCACATAATCTCAGACTCCACCAACATTGTTCAAAAGTCCATGTTTATTTTTGGTAAGTGAGAAATGCAAGTGCAAACCCCTTCATTATCATTGCAACCAGAATTCAATTTGGGTCCAAAATTATTTTATGGCTGCACAGCTTTACATAGGGGTAAAATGTTGAAATTGGGAATTCATAATTTGTTTTTGCTGGCAAAATTAAATTTCAATCAAGGGTTCACAATAGCCTTTTGCAAAAAACATTTTCTTATCTTTCAGAAAGCTGCAGGACTGCTGAAAACTCTGCAAGTTTTGAATGATAGATGTGCATGAATGTTGATGTGGGAAGGGTTCAAGCATTGAGGGTTGCAAGAAGAAATGTACACTAATGTGAACCCTGCTAAGTTTGTCAACAAAAAAAAATATGCATGCACAATTTGAACATTTTTTTGAAATTATGCAACTCAACTTTGAACACCAATTTTCAGTTAGACCACAGCATAGATTATAGAATCAAAGATGCATGAATTGTTTTTGCAGGTAAAAATCAAATTTCAATCAAAGTTGTGGGTAAGAATTTTTAAACATGAAATTGATGCATCTATGATTTGAACATCTTAAAGAACTCTTACCATCAGGGAGAGATAATGCCCACAGCCTCACTAGATGACATGTAAAATTGATTACAACTCCACTGTAGCTTCAGCTCAACTACAACCCCACCACAATAGCCTCTTTGTGTGCTACAAGGGGCTGAACTAGAGCTGAACTGCATACATGATGGGTAGCATGCTGAACTTAGCCTGGTGCCACCTGTCATGATCATTGTTTTGCCTGGTGAAACATCCTTGGTTTGTGGCTAGGATTCAACACCAAAGAAAGTTCTGATATTTGAACAGCAGATGAGGATGCTTGTTGAGCAAACAGAAAAAACAATCTGAGCAAACCAACACATAATATATTCATTTACATAGTTTAGGCATAGAATGAGAGAGCAACGGGTGTTTTGACTAAATAGACAACATTCTGTAACAGATGACAATGGAGTACACATGGAAATATGTATGAGGATGATGATTGTTTCCACAGCTCTACCTTACACAATGTTATCACACATTCTGTTCCACCAAGGTTGAGAGATGAGACTACAGAACACTATGCAACAACAATCTACTGGGGTCAACAGAAGAGAAAATGCATGCAGTAAGGAAAAACAATTCTTGTTCGGTTTTGTTTGATTTTGCGTTCATAATCATGTGGTTTCTCAGTGTGCAGTACAAATGACTGGATATGAAATACTACAGTGCGTGATCGTGAAACCGGCTAGGCAGAGGCTTAGTCAATTCTGACCCGGCTGTAAATCTTTTTGACAAAGAAAAAAGTAGCAACATATCCAATGGAGCCAGTCATCTGGATACATATTGAAAATTCAACCGGGCAGGGTTTTTTTGATTAATTTACACATCAAAGTGGGAAGATAATGAAATGAAAAGAAGAAAAGTAGACGGACCAAAAAGTCCAGTAAAGCGAGTAGCATCAAATAACCCAGATAAAGGGCGATCGACGTGAATCCATGTAAAGATAACCTGGTCGCATATAGCAGACCATAGGCCACCAACCAAAATGCACTCGCACCGCCAGTCACAAATGCTCTCTCATGCCATCGATAATCTTCTTGACAAAGGTGAAAGTAGCACATCAACACGGTCACAGTTGCTGTTGTCAATCCAACAACTCTGAAAGAAAGGAAATGCAAACACTTAAGCTCGATGACCCGCTTAACTAATCAAGAGCTCTTGGTTCATAAACTCACGTAAATGTTAGGAACAAAAATCCAGCAGCGTAATAAACTTTATTGCCAAATAATGATGACAATAAAAAGTAACCTGGAAAGAAAAAGGGAGGTCAGTTGAAACTGATTATGATCTACTTCGACAATGTGACAAATTGCGGCAAGATCACTTACATTCAATGAATCCAGCACCGAATGGCAAGATCCCGGCCATTAGCGCAGAAGGCCAAAACCTCATGTACCATACTGTGGGTGGTATTTGTCTAGGGATTTGGTTAACTCTGACTGGGATGGGCAAAGGTCCTTTCCGAGACGCCATGATGGAACCAGCCAACGCCAGAGGTAGAGAGATTAAGAACCACATTGCAATGATCGCAACCATTGTACCTGCCCAGAAGGGGAAAGCAACAAAAAACATGAGAAAGATATCCCGCCAAACTCTTTATAAATTCTTACCAAATGGTACGGCCCCCGCTGCACCGGAAGCGACCAGGAAGAAATTCAAAACATTCAACACGGAAAAGAGAATCCTAAGGAGGCACATGAAGTTCATCTCAGTTTACAGAGCAACTTCTTTTGGGCAGTTGAGCCGAGGAAAGAGGTTGATAGAGTTGATACTGACGTGGGGAACAGACAAGCTGTCAAGATCATATTCTGCTTGAAACTCAAGCCGCCATAGGTTTGATACATACGCGTGCTGACATGGCCAGCGACGTAGCTAAACAGAGTCCAAGTCACAATCATCACAGTTGATAAGCTGCCTCGGTTTGCAGGCGATAAAAATCCAAATAATGCAAAGACTGCGGTTGGATGAATGTGAGAATCTCGATCATACATTAACTAAGAGCAAAAGGGGCGTGAACTGACCAAGTGTAACAGTAGCCATGGCTACAATCTGAGCTCCGCTCCCAATGGCTACCGAGAGAAGCATGAGACGCTCTGGAGCCCTAAAGACTTCCCCGTGTAGGAGTTTCCATCCAAAATCCTCCTGGACATCGTCGATCTGGTCAATCGCGTTGTACCTGCCGATATCTCGAGCAACTGTTCGCATTAAGATCATGCCAACCATCACACAAAGGAAAGCGACAATAACTATAGAGCTATTGAAATGGGACGATGTATGATATTGAGACAATGTCAGTTTTTGTTAAGTACATACGGCTCTGAGCGAAACAATAAAGCTCAAAACGTTTAACAAACTTGACTAGAGAAAACCAATGGATCTTTGGATCAAAGATGTGTAAGTAATGATCCCATCTTGTGGCCCATGGTGTTGCTGATTCCTATGAATTTGAATTTTTTTGCCAGAAAAGTCAAGGAGAAAGGTACACACTCAAAAATGCGTAACATCAGCGTCTGAAATTTGGTAGATAGCAGCTATTCTTGGAGTGGTAATTTCGACTAGCCGGACAGAATAGGCGTCTTTAGAAACTTAGGGAACTCACAGTCCAAATAACGCTGTAGGTATAGGGAACCGTGTTGTCTTCATTTTCACTCAAGCGCATGGGCTGACCAGATTCCATATCGCAAGTTCGTGAAGCGCTTGCGTCCAAGGATGCAGGCCATACTAGAGCGCCAACCACTCTAAAGTTCCCATTCCTGACATGATATCTATGTATTCAAGAAGAATGTCAGGCTTGGAAACATAGGCAGTCAAAGTTGCCAGAACAACGGTCTCACTCACTCGAGGAAAATGTTGAAGTGATTGTGTAAAATAGGCACTGGTTCTTGGACTTGTCCCAACGAAAATCCAATCGAATAAAATGTTTCCCCAGAACCATCATCTCTTTTGAGCTCAGCCGCCGGTAAACCTGAAAGAGCAGTCAATTGAGATTACACCCATTCAGAAGAGGAAAGACACAGGGAGATGATCTGACCATCAATTAGCCAGTTGAGAGCATAGCGATCTTGAATTGCCTGATTCACGAAGCCAGCATCGGTTGCAGGGATGCTTGAATCGCAAAGTTTTTTACACGTTTCATTTTTTCGCATTTGGATCTAATCGAGAAGAGAGAGTACATCAACAAGCTGTCTCTGACAGAGTATTTGACTAGGATATACTTGAAAAGGAGAATCATAGAGCCTATCCCCAAATAAGACGCTTCCGAATGATTCACGTTGACTGGCCGGTCCTTCAGGTGGTTGACAGAAATGAAGTTGCGGATGATAATAGTCGTATGATATCACACTTTTTAGTTTGGAATGTGCAGAAATCTGAGGTGTGAGGGCGTTGACCAACAGCGGAACAAGGTCTCCTTCGTTGTAGTCCCTGGGCGCGGTACCCGGCAGATAGAAACTCCAAACAGGCGCGAGTAGTTGGAAGAATATCAACGCATTTCTGAGCTCCTTCCGCCGAGTCATCTCAATCAGCCCGGTGGTGAAAAGTAGAACCGAGATCCCGTGCTCTTGGAAATGATTTCCTTTTTTTTCCAGTTCCAGAAGTCAGAACGGCCAATTATTTCCGCACGCAAGTTGTGATCTAAACGCCAACCGCAAGCTAAGTTAGATACAGGGCCCGTCAGGATGGATCCAAAATAGGGATGAACACGTAAAAGCAATAAAGCTTACATCTTGGCTTAATCCACCCCTTGATAGGATAGGCTCGACTGGGTGTACGGTCTTTCGGATAATCGGACTGGGATTTATTTCAATGCTCCAAGTGGTTGGCGATGACGATGTTGCGATGATGAAATAACCAGCGGAGGAGATCGACTGTCGGAGTTTGTGCGCGCGATCTGAGCTGCGGCAGGGAGCAGCAGAGGAATGTGACCCCCCCTATCACCACTCAAGCCGACCTGTATGTACCCTCCAAGCTTCCAACTTCCAAGTTCCAAATAACTTACCATATTCCACCCTGTGCAGCTTTGTGCTCTCTTCAACCTCAGGTAGGGACTCACAGTTAAACTGAGAGTTGTGGCTGTAGACCATCCAACAAATGACATGTGCACACTCCACTCTTTGATTTTGACAGCAAGTTCAAGTTTTGACACTGTCCATCCCACTTGTACAAAATTAAAAACAATCACTGCCATGTTGATTTTTTGAGCTCATCATAACAAAACAGCTTTATGAGTGGACTATGAAGAAATTTGGCATCCTCCATTTCAGCACTTGAGCCAACAAACAGCACATGGCTGTCTTGCTTTGACATTGCATTATCAAGTGTCAATAAATGAATGAGATATGTACAAGATGTTTTTGGGGATTGAACTCACATGACCAGATTGAGAACAAAACACTGAGGACTTCAAAAAAAAACCCTTGATATCAAAAGAAATATCTAAGACTGCTTTTTTGATGCAATGAAAAGCATTGAACACTATTAACAGTATCAAGTTGAAAGCTGTAGGCTATGAGGGGATTTCCACTCATAGTCATACATACTGCATCAACATTTAGATCAAAAAATTGCACAACAATTGTCAAACCTCCATGGGATCACAAATTGGTGTTCAAGTTTTCTTTATAATTTCCATAAAGCTACAGCTAAACCAACAATGCTTGCAACTTTGCAAAAAAAAAAAAATGAAGTTTGACTTGCAAAGAAAAACTTTTTGGCTTATGGGACAGTATGAAGGGTGGGAAAATCAGGACAACTCAACTATCTGCTATCACACAGTGAGAGTTCCGACAGGCAGACAACTGACATTTCAATTAAAATATTTTTTTGCTCAAGCAAACTTTTTATTTTTGGGCCTTAATAAAAAAACGCGGTTTTTCCGCGTTTTGACGCGGTTTTGGCTGCGCGCAGCACACGCGGTTTCCGCATTTAGACGCGGTTTTTTAATTAATTTTTTACGGCTTATTTTTCGAGTTTTTTTGAATTTTTAAAATTGTTTCCTAGGTTTCAAAGCGCGTAGAATTTAATGGTGAAAACCATTTTCCATAAAAATGAGTTTTAATTATTAATTTTTTTTTTCTACTCATTTTTTCCATTAATTGTATGCATCCATGTTTTTACCTTATTTTTCATGTTTTTTTGAAATTTTAAATTTATTTCCTAGTTTTTAATGTGCGCAGAATTTAATGGCGCAGTCCAATTTTTTTAAAACTCAACGGTTCACTTTGAATACTGAAATTAGACACTTTTTTCACTTAAATTTTTACAGCTTAATTTTCATTCTTTTTTGGCTTTTTAAATTTGTTTCCCACACTTTTAGACATGATTAAAATGATGGTAACAATCATTTTGCATAAAAACCAAATAATGTTATTGAATACTGCGTTGGACATGTTTTTTTAATGTTTTGTTAATTGCTTTTTACCGGCTGGTTTTTAATCATTTTTTGAAATTTTATATTTATTTGCTACATTTAAAAATGTGTGGAATTGAATGGTGAAGTCCAATTTCCCTACAAATACAAGCTTCAATCTTAATACATGAGTTTACGCCGTTTCTTGCATAATTTGTCCCGTATACAAATTTTATGTGAATGCAAAATGGATATGCCCAACAATTTTGAAACCTTTCAAAGTGTAGGAAATGAACTTCAAATTCCAAAAAATAAGGATAATTAAGCATGTAAGAATTAATTAAAAAAACCCGTCAAAGGCATTATTCAAGATACAGTTTTTATTTTGATGCAAAGTGATTGTTACCATCATTTTCAACATGTCTTAAAGTGTAGGAAAAAAATTTAAAATGTCAAAAAATAATGAAAATTAAGCTCTTAAAAATCAATTGAAAAATATGACTAATTACAGTATTCAGAATGAACCGTTGAGTTTTAAGAGAATTGGATGTTCCCATCAAATTCTACACACTTTTAAATGTAGGAAGAAACTTTAAAACTTCAAAAAAGCATAAAAAATAAGGTACACACATGTATGCAAACAATTAGGTGAAAAAGTGAGGAATTAATTAAAAAAACGTGTCAAATGCAGCATTCAGGGTATAGTTTTCAACTTGGGGAAAAATGGTTGATACCATAATTTTCTACATGTCTTAAAGTGTAGGAAATAAATTTAAAATGTCAAAAAATGATTAAAATTAAGCTGTAAAAAATTAAGTGAAAAAATGGGTGTAATTTGAGTATTAAAAGTGAACCGTTGAGTTTTAAAAAAATTGGACTGCGCCATTAAATTCTACGCATATTAAAACCTAGGAAATAAATTTAAAACTCTAAAAAAACATAAAAAATAAGGTACATACATGTATGCAAACAATTAATTGAGAAATGAGTGAAAAAAAATAATTAATAATCAAAATTCATTTTTATGAAAAAAGGTTTTTACCATTAAATTCTATGCCTTTTATAGTGTAGGAAACAACTTCAAAAATTCAAAAAAACTCGAAAAATAAGCCGCAAAAAATTAATTAAAAAACCGTGTCTAAATGCGGAAACCGCGTGTGCTGCGCGCAGCCAAAACCGTGTCAAAACGCGGAAAAACCGCGTTTTTTTATTAAGGCCCTTATTTTTTATTTTGTAAAAAGTTGAAAGCATTGTTGGTTTAGTTGTAGTTAATCTGGCACAGAGATTCAAGGAGAGTCCCTATGCTGTCAACACCCCATGTGTAACTCAAATCTTCAAGAAGAACTGATGGTCTATCCAGACATTGATATTGCAAAGGAAAAAAAATTGAACACTCTATGTTCAAAGCAATTGATTACTGACATAACTGTCCATTACAGGCCATCATCTCAAATAATCAACAACAAAAAAAAAGAAAAAAAGAAGTGATATATATTTGTGTAAGTTTACTTTTTTTTTGTTCTTGATGTGTGTGCTTAACAAATAAGATAAGCCACACTAAGAAAACAGACCATAAAAGAAAAAGAGATGTATGGAACCATCAAAAGGAATAGTTAGAGGATAAGAGAGAAACAGAATAGTATGTGTATCAAAAAAAAAGATAATGTGAGAAAAAAGATCCAAGGGGTTGGCAAGACATTGTGAATGGATTGATGAATGGAAAAAAAGAAGAAAAATGATAAAAATTACATAGGCAAACAGACCATGATCAAGGGGCAAAAGGGAAAGTAGCTGTCCCAATAGAGTAATGTGGGGAGAGAATGAGTGAGTATAGGATTTGCAGGGAAGTAGAGATGTAGTTTGATGGGGCAGTCCATGTAATCCAGGTCCCACTAATGGTGTAAAAAACTAGGAAAACACCCATAAAATGCTGGCTCTCAGGCAATGGATGATGATCAGGAACAAGGGAGGGGCTTTTTAAACAAAAACTGAAGGACGGAATGAAGCTTGGAAAAACGAATATGCAACAAAAAAAGGAAGCTTTCCAAAAGTAGAGAAAAACAAAGTATTTTTTGAGGCTGGTTGTATTCAATTGTAAGAGGAGGGGGAAAAGGAATGAATGTCTATAGATTTGATTTTTTTTCCGGGTGTGTGTAAAAATGAAAAAAGAGAATGGAGATGCGGGAGCGAGAGAGTGAGAGTGAGAGAGATTGTCCAATAAAAGCCAACAAAAAAAGACAGATTATAGTTCATTTTTCTCTTTTCGAGACGAACGTTGGTGCAGATCTTGATCCTGGAAATGGTGGTTTTGGTTGTGAGAGCGAGAGAGGAAGACGAGGGTCTTCATCTGACCCAAAAGGCTGTGGACCCAATGCGAACACATGGCGAACGATTCCTTACATTTGTCGCTGAACATCTTGAACATCTTACTGGCTGGTCTGACCAGAAGGCCAAGGTCGATAACGTGGGAGCGGATGTTGGATTGGATCGTCGGATCCGAGCGGTTGTTGGATGGACTATGAGTGTTGGAAGAATATGTGAGCTTGGCTTTCGAGTTTGATGGACTGGGTGGGGTCTGTGAATTGGTCGAGGACAGGGGTGGAGAGGCTGTCGGTTTTGAAGATTGATCGTTGGGCTTCGAATCCAGTTTGGTTTTGGGTTTCTTCGGCTTCTCCTTCTCTGTGGCAGGCATGCCCGCGAAAGGAGACTGCGGACGGGGACTCAAGCCCGGGCTTAATGAGATCGCCTGGGCTGCCTTTCCTGACGCTAAACCGTCAAACTTTTCATCCCTGATTTGGTTTGGTAGCGTCCCTTCAGCAAATCTCTGTTCCCACAACTTGGTGAATTTGTCAACAGCTGCTAGCGACTCTGATAGTCTATTCAAAGTGTTGATAAATCCAAGCAACTCGGGTCGAGTCAGATGGAAGTTTGAGTGACTGGGAAGTGAAATAATGTCAGCTACTAGAGATAGAAAACAAGAACCTATGGTAGTAGCTTACTCCTGGGAGCCTTCCTCGTATTCGAACAACAATTTCAATCCAGTTGCCAAGCCCATGACTTGCAATTTGCCCCAGAGTCGACATTTGTCACATCCGACGCAATCCATAATGCGACTGACGTTCCGGAAGTGTTCCTTAAATTCATCCTTGAGTGTGTTGTGACCATGAGGGTTACTTTTGAACATGCTGGTTTCATCAAATGTGACGGGATAGGAATGAGCGATTGCAATCAATCGGTCTAAACTCTTTCGAGTGAGACTATCAGATTGGACATCTCCTGTACATAGTTCTACTCTGGGCGAGCTGAGGTATGATGCTGAGCGAGAAAGGGCTCGTAACATCAACGTGTAGGTAAAGTAGAGATTCTCGAGTCGCTCTGGATATAACCCAATCCGATTCAAGTAGCACTGTAGGTTGGGTACCCATTGGCCAGTGCTTGGGTCTAGATATTCATCGCATATGTGCATTGAAATAGAAGTGTGGAGACCTGCAAGAAAAAGAAACAATCAACAAGAGCCCCGTGGAGAAATCAGGTACAGAAAAAAGTCAACCTGATAAAAGCTTGTAATACACTCGTTTTTCCAGACACGTCCCGTTGTCTGCATTGCCAGGTTCAACCAAGTCTGGATGGGGGTCAAGCCCAGCACGGCTGGATGGAGGGGGGGTCGAAAACGGACTGAAGGCGGGTCGTTGTGGGACATCAAAACAGTTGTCTTCATAAATTGCCCTCCAGATTCGTTGGGCGGATTTTCCAGAGTAGCCCGTGAAACGTTCCGGATTGGCTAGTAAGTCGACATAGACTCCATCTAAGCAGAAATGAATCAAAAATAACGTTAAATAGGTGAAAATGCGCGAATAATCAAAGTGTTTGGTCGATTAGTTACTTACTTGAAGGCATGCCGTTGTCACCATCCAGCACACAATAATCTTGTTCCTTGACGACACACTTATCCTTCATATCAATAGGAATATCTTTGAGAGATGATGTTTTAAGATCGCTCAGCTCGCTGTTTCTCCAATAAGCCGGAATATCATTCTAATAATTTGTGTGAAGAAGCGTGAGGCCTGGGTTAGCCAATTGGGCCCCGTAGGTGAATAGAAGTGGGTTCTTACTTGATCCAGCTCATCGACGGCACAGGCTCTATTTCCACATAATCCATCTTCCGACCAGAATGGGCACTCTCGGTAAAGATCAACCTAAAAGAAGGGGCACAAATGATAATTTAGGAGAAGATGGATCTGCATGAGGACTAGGGCTGGGGCCCACCTTGTGATATCGAAAGATAGGCAGTTGAACTGCATCAGAAATTTCCGAGTGAAGCTTCCGGTTGACCTCGTCAATCGTTTCAAAATTGCAGCTAGTGTCCTGAATCAATCCGGTTGGCTAAAGAAAGCGCAGGTTAGGAGGTTGGCGGATTCCAAAAAAAAATGAGGGAAGTATGCTGACTTTACAGGTGAGTTGTTGGGTGGGAATAGTGGGAGGCGATTCGAATGAGGAGACCAATGCAGATGAATGAAAGAGGATGAGGGTGGTGGTGAGGATACTGTTTCGTTTGGTTCGGTGAGGATGATGCATTTCGGGATAGATTGATGTTCTTGGTGGGTATCTGTCTTCTTTGTGAGTGCTTTGAGGGGTGTCTTGTGTCGAAATATCCAAATGTTCTGAAATGTAGAAGCTGAAGTAAATGATTTGAGATGGTTGGCTTGTTTGGTTGGTGGTAGAGTTGTCCGGGCGAGGATCCGGTTGAGTCGAAGTCGAGGGCGAGGCCAGGCGGGAGGGTGGCTTGGCGTCGAGGGGTGTCATGCGGATGTCCAGCGAAAGTCAACAAAAAAGAACAGCTCGGATCAGTGACATCAGCTGTACACTCCCCGCCTCAACGACCGACGACCTGCGAAACCTTCCAAGACTTTCTTGTGGATTCATACAGACACTGTGGCACTCAACAACTTGTCGTGTGCTCACTGGCCACTGGCGTGCCGAGGCGTACCGCTGCAAGCTGTATGTATCCAGCTGTGGCAGTGAAACCAAAACCTCCGTCATATTCCTGACTCCTCCTGCTCTGCCCTAGCCTGCCCATTTGGTGGATAAATGCCTTTTCCTTGGTGCTATGTTTACAGTATATGTAGCCTGCAGGTGGCAACAATTAACATAATTTGGCAGTGGCAGGTAGTGGGTGGCAGAGTAGCAATGCGTGCACATATGACGTGGCCCAAGGAGGAAGGTGGGGCATCTCCAAGCAATGATAGAGCAGTTGTCCCACTAACTTATCCAATGAGCTCGTTGTCACTGAATTTGTCAGAAAAGAAACTTGAAGGTTAATGTGCAGGGAGGTATCCTAGAACTTGGAGAATGATGATACATCTCAATTTGATTAATTGTCCTTGTCTACAATTGACTGTCGCTTTCATCTCATAAGCTTTCTTATGATTCTCACATGCTACTTTCCATACAGCTGCTGCTAATTGATGTAAATTTTATCTCATCATGGGTAACCTATCCGAATTTTGCTTCAACACTTGCTGGTATTGATCCAAAGTTGGTTCCTACTGAAGAATGGACTGCCCTGATGGCTGTTCCTTATTATGGTAGTCCACATTGGCTCAAAATTGTGGTTTTGAGCAAAGTTTAATCAGGAGGAAATTTTGCTCCAGCAGGGGGGCTTCCCTCCAAAATCTAAGAATTATCTGGCCCTTCAGAAGAGGTTAGTTTGAATGAGGTGGACCATCAACAGAGCAACATCAACTGCTCTACCAGTTTTCTTAGAACTCAGAAAAGTGGAGCTGCAAGCTAGGTTGCAAATAAAAGTTCTAGAACATACAACGGGCTGCCACTTTTCTTGACTGAAATTACCTTATGTGAAGAACTGGATAGTGTTCCTCGTGTAAACTATGATTACCATCCAAAATTCGGAAGAAATCGCACAAAGAACTCATGGGTCGAATTCTACATTTGGAATGATCAATGTCCCTCTGAGCCCCCCATCTAACTGGAATCCTATGGAATCATACCCACATTCCCACAACTG